CAACGACGTCGACAGCTGAGCTCACCGGTGCAACATGAGCGGCCTCGGCCTCCCGTGCCTGCTCCTCTTGTCAGGTATTGCTGTGATGGTGGCTACAGCACGGGATGGTATTGCTGTGACGGTGGCTACAGCACGGGATAATGGTCAGTACAATCATGATGTTAGCGTATTTTCCAGAGTTGTTTGAATACTCAAAATTCACCCAAAATAAGGGGGGGGGGTGCGGCTTATACTGTAAAAGCCACTATAACCATGATAACGAAGTGCTAACCCTAACGAGGAGAAATCTGTCGTTAAAATAGAAATCGTTATAAAGAAATCGATACATATACTGTCCAATTGAGCGTTGAGAATGAGTGAGAATCGTTACCTTTGGTACACGTGAACTAGTCAATTTTGGGAAATCGTTATATATGCGCCTCGTTAGAATAATGGCTCTTACAGTACTCTGATGATCAAATTAACGGTGATAAAATAGGATAGATGTGTGTATTCCGTGGCAAAAAAATGGGGGTTACGGCTTATACGTATATTTTATAACAAGGAACCGAGTGTATATAGAGATATATACACCAGTATGAAAACCGAGGCGAAGCCGAGGTTTTTATAACTGGTGTATATATCTCGATATACACGACGTGACGAGGTCCCTTTGTTATAATATATTTATACCTCACCGTGTGTAACCACCTAATGGCTTGTTCCTCGCCGACAACTACTGCTAATTTCCCTTAGCAGTGTATATGGAGATATATACACCACTAAGGGAGAGCATGCCTGAGACTGTAAGTGTATATGGAGATATATACACCACTAAGGGAGAGCATGCCTGAGACTGTAAGTATATATGGAGTGAGGTATAATCCGGAACATACTGTACTTATGCTAGAGAAGTACAATACTGTTTTGTCTACGCATGTCTCGGTCTCAGGTGCTCTTATATTTGTGCAATTGTTGATTTTGCTCCTGAATTGTCCTCCCTGTTGCTTTGCTACCGTCCTCCTCCTTCCTCCACCCTTTTTCTTAATTGACCTCATTATCACATTCGCTTCCATGTAATAATTGGGTTTGCAGCCCGTGTGCACTTGCGAATTCAAATAAAAAAAAAATACATACATACACTCATACATACATACATACATACATACATACATACATACATACATACATACATACATACATACATACATACATACATGGGGTAGTGCCTTTGCTGTTTGCGTTATGCAGAGCTCACTGACTTGTCAGTTTGAGCACTCTGGCAAGGTACGTTCGAGCCTGATTGGAAATTTTTATTTTCATTGCTATCAGGTTCGGCCTCATTTTCTCTGTGCTGCGCTGATGAGTTCAAAAAGAACGAAACAGCATGCTGTCTGCAGATTGAGTACATACATACATACATACATACATACATACATACATACATACATACATACATACATACATACATACATACATTCATACATACATACATACATACATACATACATACATACATACATACATACTCAGTAAGACTATGCCTGCAGCTGCAGAAAAAGTGCTCAGCCTCCAATTTCTTGGGAGGAGCAATGACACATGTCAACAAACAATGGATCACTCGTAATATTTCGCTACTCCGAGTTTCATGCACCGTGTGCAATCATCAGGCAAACAATATTCAATGCAGACTGGTCAAAGCATACATACATACATACATGTAGTGCATGACCATGACACTTGCTCACAGAGTTTTTCATATTATGACTCTCACACTGGTGGTTTTCATATTGCGCATGGTTGAAGAGAACACGGTCTTTTCCTTGTATGTAGTTGACTTGGAGTGCGTTTGTGAAACATGGAGTGATTAGTCTGGTTTACCCACGATATTTCAAGTACTGTCGCCGGCAGCCGAAGAACTGGGCAGTCAGCCTCGTAGCCTAGACAGTTCTTATCAAAGTTTCATGTATTACAGTCTATGCACAGTTGAGTCACTGTGTATGTGTGTGCGTATTTGTGTATGTGTGTGTGTATGTGTGTGTGTGTGTGTGTATGTGTGTGCGTATGTGTGTGTGTGTATGTGTGTGTGTGTGTGTGTGAGTGTATGTGTGTGCGTATTTGTGTATGTGTGTGTGTGTGTGTGTGTGTGTGTGTGTGTGAGTGTATGTGTGTGCGTATTTGTGTGTGTGTGTATGTGTGTGCATGTGCATGTGCGCGTTTGTGTATGTGCGTGCGTATTTGTGTATGTCTGTGTCTGTCTGTCTGTGTCTGTGTGTGTCTGTGTGTGTGTGTGTGTGTGTGTGTGTGTGTCTGTGTGTATGTATACTTGTGAAATCACTGCAGGTACTAACCAATCCACAATACTTTCAAACCCATCCACCCAACACAGCCCAAGTAAGTGGGTGTGTATGTTTTCTGAGTTCAGACATTTGTGTATGTATGCATTTCTGTGCATGTGTGACTGTGTGTGTGTGTGTGTGTGTGTGTGTGTGTGTGTGTGTGTGTGTGTGTGTGTGTGTGTGTGTGTGTGTGTGTATGCGTGTGCATGCTTGTGGATGTGTGTGTCTGTGTCTTCCTGGGTGGTTACCAACAGCCAGTGCATGCCGGAGTATGTGGTGTGGTGTGTGTGCGGGAAAAAAATATAAAACCAAAAAGTAGGGATTCACTGGCCAGAAAAAGCCATTTCATAGCTGTGTGGTGTACACCAGGCTGAATAGTGGCGGTCAATTCTTCAGCCTTGCAAGCTGTTGAATGGCGCAATCCCAGCACAAGTTGCTATGTCTAACATAGCTGTTCGCTATCATCGTTTCCGAGATGGGCAGGTCTGAGGTGTGTGTGTGTGTGTGTGTGTGTGTGTGTGTGTGTGTGTGTGTGTGTGTGTGTGTGTGTGTGCATGTGTGTGTGTGTGTGTGTGTGTGTGTGTGTGTGTGTGTGCATGTGCATGTGTGTGTGTGTGTGTGTGTGTGTGTGTGTGTGCATGTGTGTGTGTGTGTGTGTGTGTGTGTGTGTGTGTGTGTGTGTGTGTGTGTGTGTGTGTGTGTGTGTACCATAAAGTGCTGTTAATCCGCCCCCACACCAGTGGCGGGTTTAGGGGGGGGCGCGGGGGGCGCGCGCCCCCCCTCAAAAATTTCGACCTAGGTTTCGAAAAATAATAGGCAGGGCGCTAGGGCGCCGGGTCGATCGAGCTAGACTCGTTCGGGGCGCGCGCGGCCTGAAACGATTGTCCAAAAGCGGTTGCACGGTCGAGCTGGTGTTGATTGTACACACTACAGACTAGTACAGTCTACAGAGTACGAGAGTCTACGTACAGTGAGCATGCACGGCGCGGCTACAGAAACATGGTGACCTGACTGTGTACTATTGTACAGTGTGATCCCTGCTGGGACGCGCTCGACGCGTCTTCAACGGTACAAACATGGAAGAAAAGTCTTCGATCGAGTCAACCAAAACACGATTCGAATGCCGAGGGCTCAGGCGATCATCCTCGTTCGAATCGTGTTTTGGTTGACTCGAAGGCTTTTCTTCGATGTCTCAGGGACATCCCAAAAGGCCAAGCTCTAGCCAGCAGAGCCTGGAATTTTTGTAAAGCGTTCCTGTGGCGGCGCAACTCCTGCTGCCGCTCCAACAGCAAACAGTGGGAGTGATGAAGTCGCTGTTATTCCAGTTGAACTTTCGGAGCGGACTGACAGTCACACTCCGCCAGACGCGGAAGAATCTGTTGTCAGCGAGTAGCCAGAACATGAAGAACAGCGCACAGTGACAAGTACCGCTGCCTATGTAAAGGATGCTTTGACTCTTTGAGAGCGGTGAGAAATTGTTGGACTCGCATAAATAATTGCAGTTGATTCGCTCACCTAACGGCAAATTTGAAGTTTACAATGTACATTGTTGCTGCGTGTACAGAAATACTGCTCGTGGTGTGTGAGATTTACGGCTTGTTGTTGTTGTTTATTTTACTTCACCAAATGAGCAGGCAGAGATGCCTTCTCACCTGCCCATAGGACAGGTTCTCACAGAATGATGAAGGGATGATATGCAAGGGAAAACAAGAAATGATAATAATAATAATAATTATAAGACAGAAAGGACCAAAAGAAGAAAAGGAAAAATTTATATGAAGACAATTTCATGGAGTCAGAAATAGAAAGACAATAATTTCATGGAGTCAAAGAATAGAAAGACAATCTCATGGAGTCAGGAACACGTCGTTGATTTTATAGACATGCATGCACAAATGTGATAGATGAGAAGGTTGGAATTTATGGCAGATAATAAAAGTTTAACGAGGATATTCACAAAGTAAGCCAGTATATCAATGGCAGAAAGAGCTTTTCGGAAGGGACCAGGGACACGTATCACTCTAAAATCAGAGGGGAGAGCGTTCCAGAGAATGCTTCCCCGAAACATCATGGTCGATCGTCCCGCAGGCCCACGAAGAAAGGGAACTTGAAGCAAGTTCGACACTTGTCCCCGTGTGGTGCGCTGATCCTCCGGAACAGTCTCTGGGGCCGTTCGGGTGAATAACTGTTGAAGAAGGGGGCTACAGGAGGAGCTTCTTGACATCGGTTTTCAAAATGGCTGACCTGGGACAGTACCATGATGTCATCTACCCCCACCCCATCCCGCCTTGATCCCGGCCGCAACCCCCCCCCCCCCCCCCCCCCTCAGCCAAATCCTGGACACGCCACTGCACACCATGTCGCTTCCCAGCTGGATTTTCGGCAGGGGGCGGGAATTAGATCAAGGTTGTCAAGTGCAGTACGATGTACAACAACGTAGAGGATCAGAATCGATGTGCTGGATTGTGCATATTTTCATCCTGGATTGGCACATATTGTGTACAGCAGTGCATGCGTCGGTTCAACATCGTATTTCGTTGTATACGCCGGAGTCGCTTCACAGGTAGAAAATCGACAGGGGTCGGGAATTAGAGAGGGGGCGGAACAACGGTACTTTACGGTATGCGTATGTGTATGTCTGTGTGTGTGTGTGTGTGTGTGTGTGTGTGTATACTTGTGAAATCACTGCAGGTACTAACCAATCCACAATACTTTCAAACCCATCCACCCAACACAGCCCAAGTAAGTGGGTGTACACGTATTCTGAGTTCAGACATTTGTGTATGTATGCATTTCTGTGCGCGTGCGTGTGCGTGTGTGTGTGTGTGTGTGTGTGTGTGTGTGTGTGTGTGTGTGTACATGGTGCGTGGGGGGGGGGGGGGGTGCGTGTGTATTTGTGTGCGTGCATGTGCACGTTTCAGGTCCAATCACAAAACATCAGAATCTACCAACTATCTCTTCTAATAGTCCACAAAGGTCAAAAAGAATGGTTTCACCAATTATAGAAACATACGTTGTAACGCTGCGTTTCATGCACGTAGCTAAATGCTAAGGCAATCATCAGACAACTAATGCTTGTGTCGCGGGATAGCTTGTTCTTATTGTGGGGGATACGCATGGGCATGTAGAGGAGGTGTGAGCTATCAATGCAGGGCATGCATGGGAAGTCTTCTAATAGTCCTATACAATTTACAGCCCCCCCAGCGGCAGATCCAGCGATATCTACAGGGGGTTCCTGCAATCCAGTTTAGTCAAAACTGAATAGCCGATACATGTACATGGACACGCATATGTTTGCCAGTAGTACATTTACGACATTTAGGGGGTTCCATGGAACCCCTGGAACCCCTCCTGGATCCGACACTGCCCCCCCCCCCCCCCAGATCTCCCAATGAAGGAACACTGTGTGTGTGCTCTTGTTTGCTTGCTTGTTTGTTTGTTTGTTCATGTGCACGGCTGTACAGCCACGGACACGGCCACCTCGTCCGGGATCGCCCTGCCCACTCCTCTCCTCTTCAGCAGCATCGTCGGCCCGAGCTTCTTGTTCCTGCTCGCGGCTATTGCCTACTCCCTACACAGAGATCGAGTGAATCAGAGACTTGCCGAGTAAGTCTGTCGTCGACTACATATAGACCATGGCTTAGCCTTGCTAGACCGATACTGGCCATGGCCTCTTAAGGAGGGAGTAGTAAAATAACGGTATTTTACTACTTCCGGGCCATCTGCACAGGGATAGAGTGAATCAGAGACGTGCCGAGTAAGTCTGTCGTCGACTACATGTAGACCATGGCTTAGTCTTGCTAGACCGATACTGGCCATGGCAAAAAAGGAGGGAGTAGTAAAATACCGTTATTTTCCTACTCCCGGGCCATTTTTTAATGGTGGCCATAAGCAAGGGTCCCTGGTTCAAATACTACAAACACCGGTGGTGACCATGAACGTACCGTTGGTCAGTGTCGTGCAACCTCTAATGTTATCGCATGAGCTGATTGAAAAGCACCTGATGGTGTTAGTGGACATTTAATATAGCGTAACTTTTAATTCCTTGGTCCTTTTCCTTCCTATAAAACCTCTCTTCAGAAATTTCAAATATTCAACTCCCTCCCCTCTCCACCCCCTCCCCTCCTTCTCCAAACGAACAGCCAGAGGGATGAGCTGTGCCGTTGAAGTAGTCGAACTGCTTATAGTACTGCCAGACCCTCTGTATTATATAAGCAACTTACCATATGCGTTGCTTTCATTGAGTTGCTGGCATTGAGTTGCTTTCATTGAGTTGCTGGCATTGTGTTGCTTTCATTGAGTTGCTGGCATTGCAGATTTTTAATCAAACACTGTACGTGTGTGCTCTTGTTGTTGCTGCTGTTGGTTGCTGCTGCCAATGTTGCTGCTGCCACTGTTGTTGCTGCTGCCAATGTTGCTGCTGCCACTGTTGTTGCTGCTGCCACTGTTGTTGCTGCTGCCAATGTAGCTGCTGCCACTGTTGTTGCTGCTGCCACTGTTGTTGCTGCTGCCAATGTTGCTGCTGCCACTGTTGTTGCTGCTGCCACTGTTGTCACTGCTGCCACTGTTGTCACTGCTGCCACTGTTTCTGCTGCCACTGTTGTTGCTGCTGCTGCCACTGTTGTTACTGCTGCCAATGTTGCTGCTGCTGCCAATGTTGCTGCTGCCACTGTTGCTGCTGCCACTGTTGCTGCTGCCACTGTTGTTGCTGATGCCGCTGTTGTTGCTGCTGCCACTGTTGCTGCCAATGTTGCTGCTGCCAATGCCACTGTCAATGCCACTGCCAATGCCACTACCAATGCCACTGTTGGCGTCTATGCTGCTGCTACTGTCACCGTCCTGTTTCTCTGCTCATTTTCTGCGACTGTGTGTGTGTGAGTGTGTGTGCGTGTGTGCGTGTGTGTGTGTGCGTGTGTGTTTCATGCGCAGTGAGAAGGATGCGAGCGGCAAGCCTCTGGAGCGGCAGGACACAACGGAAACGGTGGCCATGTCCCAGACAGCACTCGACACCCTGCTGCCGAAGACGCTTGTCAAGCAGGAAACGATGACGTCCGTGTTCGATCTGACCGGTAGTAGCTCCTCGGCTGCGTTTACTAACACGCCCTCGAATTTCGGCATGAACTTTGCCGCGCTAAACAACAATGCTGCTCTGGACCTGTCTCCTGGCGAGGACAATGCTGCCTGGACCGGGCATGGACGAGGCAGCAACAGGAGAGGGTTTGCGAGCGCGAGGAGGTCCGCGCATACATCGTCGCTGTGTGGTCGGCCACCCATGGCCGTCCCGTCGGCGACGGCAACCGCCACCACACCCATAGTGCGTGAGTGGGACGCTGCCGGGGGTAGCCTGTCGTCCACGCACTCGTTTCTGACGCACACGGGGGTTATGCTATCGCCTTCGCCCACCGGCGTCGATCCGCACTGCGTACTCCTGGATAGCCCCTCCACCACCAGCACCGTGCTCACCACGTCTGATAGCCATTACAACTCCTACGCTGCCGGCTCACCCCTGCTACAACGAGCCGCCCTGTCGACCGAGGCCTCGAGTTCAGGACAGGTCAGGAATTCAGGACAGCAGCAGCGTCTCAATACCATTCCCGTTGGCGCGCCCTCGCTGCAACGGGCCGCCCTGTTGGTCGAGGCCTCACTTTCAGGCCAGCGGCAAGGTCCCAATAGCTTTCCCGTCTCACCGGACGCAAGTCCGAACAACAACAGCAACAACAACAACGACAGCATGCAATGTGCAACGCCGCCGATCAAGAAGAGAAAGACAGGGAGCCTGGTGGAGGATCCGAGAAGCGACGAAAGCAAGCCACAGGCCAGGTCCTCGGCGGCGGAAAGAAGCAGCAGCGGCAGAGTGTACGCCGGCGACAAACACAGCTCACTGGGACGCCGAGCAGGACAGTCGTACACGTCGGGTAGGCTACCTCCGGTACTGTCAGCGAGTGGCACCGCTGCCGGTGTCGGCATCTTTCCGGCGCGCGGTCTTAAGAGCATGTTCTCAGTGGGCACAAGCAGCCGACGGCATACGGTGTCAAAGGACAAAAACATTGCCGACGACCCTCCATACAGTTACCCGTTCACAATCGATGACTTGTGCGAGCAGCGGGAGACGGAGACGGAGCCTGCGTCGTCGAAAGAGACGTGGAAGCCGCTGGCTTCCTTTCGCAGCATGCCTGGTGGCAGCAGGCGTTGCAAGGTCTCCAGGGCTCAGCCACGGCGCCCTCACTCACCAGCAAATACGCTGGAAACATGCGACGATGATGACACCGGCGTGGCCACGGCGGCGGAGATAACGCCAGCGGGGGTGGTGCCCGAGGCGCAACCGAGGGTGCTGCTGCGTACGAGCACGATGCCGATCACCAGGTCGACCGAGGACATGAATCCGTATACAACGCCGCTGGACATCCCGGTGAAGGACACTATAGCAGGCGGCGGTGGCAGCAGCCGACGAAACACTACCAGTGCGGTGTCGAATAAGACGACTGTGACCTTACCAGCCCTCACGCAGCCCGTGTACAAGCAGCAAGCGCCCACGATATCCGTGAACACGGGGAGTTGCCATCTCCACGACGACGACATCGGCAGAGGCGATGGTAGAAGCATCGGCGGCGCGACGCAAACCTCGCCCGCGCGCTCAGCGTACTGCGGCGCCCAGGAGCCAGTCAAGCGTACGCATGCAATGGCCTCGGATACGATGCCACAGCCACATCCCCAGCCAGCATGCAAGATTATCCAGGACAGGGCGGTGTGCAGCATAGACCATGGCAGTGCCGGCAGAGAAGTGGCAAGCAACAGCAGTGGTGAAGTGACAAGCAGACGTGGTGATCACATAATCAACAGTGGAGATCAGAAAAGCAGGAGTGTTGAACAGAGGAGCAGAAGAGAATTGACAAGCAGCTGTGGTAATGAGACAAGAAGCTGTGTTGATCTGAAAAGCAACAATAGTGATCGAGCAAGCAGCTATGGTGACCAGCACACAAGCAGCTGTGCTGATCATAGGAGCAGCAGAGGCAGCAGGATTAGCAGTTGCCCGTCGGCAGCCATGGCAGCAAACATGGCCGCCGACAATATGACGTCGCCGTACATGACGTGCACTCCGAGACGCGAGCACGTGGACGACGCCTCGTCGTCAACGGACGGCAGTACTACGACGGTGGACACCAGGTCTCCATGTGACACATCGTCATCATCATCATTGTCGACATTGGTCTCACCCCGTCGTGGTGTTGTCGGCACGGCCGACGCCTGGAAGCTGCCTAGCAACCGTGTCGCTAAGGCCATGTCGAGCAAGCAACGGCGCCGGGTCAACTCCACACGCTTGTTGCGCTGGCAATCAAACACGTCGATCGAGCGGATAATCTCGACGGCCGTGGACACGCGGCCCGCCGACCGACTGAAGAAGCTCACGCGCCACAAGTCGATGATCTGCTTCGACAACTTGATCCGCACCCCGTACCCGGACAGCCCACCATCACTGACGACGAGGAGGAAGGCTACCACCATCGCCAGCTCTTTACCAACAGACTTTGCCGGCTCCCCGCCATCGCCACAGGCCGTCAGCCAGCGGAAGCAGCAGCGGCTGCGCAGGCTGTTGTCGACAAGCTCGTCGCCCGACTCCATCCGCGCCGTCTGCACCAGGGAGGGCGTCACCCACGTGGTCGTTGTCGGTGATACGTCTAGCTCACCGTCGCCGGTGGCGTCGGAAACAAATAGCGACGCGGCGCACACAATGGCACAGCCGACGAGCGATGACCGAGCTCTAGCGGCCGGGAGCCACGCGGCAAACACACCACTATCACAGCCGGCATGTGATCTGACCGCCAGCGGCCAGGTCTTTGAAATACAATTCTAACCGCCGGAGTAGTAGTAGTAGTAAAATGCCGCTATTTTACTACTCCCCGATTCAAACACATTATTGTGGTCGCGCCTGTAAAGGCTAACAGACATTTGCAGACTCGCGCTGCACCGACGCAAACTACCGGCAGTTCCCTTTTTCCCATTGTCCTCGTAGCAGCACCTGCCGAAGCCAACTCGACAGCACACACCGAGTTGTTTACCGCGCTTCTGTATCTTTCTAGCTTTTTTTAGCTTTATAAATCTACGTGCACTGGAACGTGCGCTTTTCTTCGTTTAACCGCACAGGTGCTAGTGTCTTCGACACTGACCCATGGAATGGATATCGTGTTCGCCAGTTTGCTGGTATCCAGAAACATTACTTTATAATTATTTTTACCACCACATGAATCTATTACAAATTAGTTTTATAAATAATCGTTGCAACCTTGAATCCGCTACGCACAACGTTGAACTTGTAATAGTTGTCAAAGCGGTCATGTCATCTGGGAAAGTATTGTATCTAGCTCATGAACGAAAGCTTGTTCAGGTATCATTTCTTCTGTACTTCTTGTGCCTTCTATATATGGAATGCATGTCTTCTGCAATCCGTGCTGCTCCCTGTGCTTGTGTGCGTGCGCGTGTGTTGGTGTGTGTGTGTGTGTGCGTGCGCGTGCGAGTGTTGGTGTGTGTGTGTTGGTGCTGGTGTGCGTGCGTGTGCATGTGTGCCAGCCAGCTCCGTTGGTGGGAGCACAATCAACATTATGACGGATAACGTCGGGTCTGTTGCCATTAGGCTAGGCTGCTAGTAGTACCTGCCATATTATTTTTATGTAAAGAGACAAGGACCTAGCAAGGAGAAGTTACTAGTTATGACTAACAGTCCACCAAGGTAACGAGATAATACGCAGTCAGATAGTGCGACAACGAGTAACTTTTAGGTCCTTTTCTCTTTACATAATTTATACTACAATGTATTGACTCAACATCCGAGTTTCACGTTATTTTTGTTGATTTCAGGGCCCACATACTTCTGATTCATGTTATTTTGAAGATAAATCTGTCCCTCCAGGAAATCGCGATTCCACGGATGCAACAAATTTCGCGATTTTGGCCCAAACCCGCGGCTTTCTCCACTTTTCCCCCGCAATGCTTTCGTGTTGGTTTTTTTTGCAGACTCGACTCTTACTACTCCCGAGATAGTGGAGTAGATCAGGGAGTCGTCAAATACCATATTTGACGACTCCCTGGAGTAGATCTACAGATTACTGCCCAAATAGCGATTCTACAGCAACAAATTTGCAACAAATTTCGTGATTTGGCCTAAATCCGCAATTTTCTGGAAATAATCCCGCGAATTCCTGGCAAGTTCCACATCTTTCCGCACTTTTTCGCCGCATTTTTCGTTGTTTTCTGCCGCAATTTCTTGCGCAAGTTTTCGAGACTTTTTTCCGCAAATTATCCCGCAGGGACAGATAAATACGACACAAACACCTTACCGCTGAGACATACACCACCTACACTTACCTCCTTCCTATTCTTCACCTAACATATTCACACCAATATGATTGTTAACTTTCTCAGTGTCATTCGTTGTTGTCTTTATACATGTAGTTCAATAAGCTGTCCCTGCGGGAATTTGCGGAAAAAACTCTCGAAAACTTGCGCAAGAAATTGCGGCAGAAAGTAACAAAAAATGCGACGAAAAGGGCGGAATGATGCAGAACTTGCCAGGAATTCGCGGAATTATTTGCAGAAAATTGCGGATTTGGGCCAAATCACGAAATTTGTTGCATCGTATATCTACTCGGGAGTCGTACGGTGCAAATAACCTACAGGATCATGGAAAGAACTGCGTGAAAAGTGCATAAAAATGTGAGATAGTGCAGAAATTAACAAAAAACGCGGGAAATCGCGGATTTTGCTGAAAATCGCGGGTTTGGGCCAAAATCGCGAAATTTGTTGCATCCGTGGAATCGCGATTTCCTGGAGGGACAGAATAAGTACCTATGCAATGGATGATTTTGTCCTTCATTACTCTGATGTTGGGCCAGGCCCGAACATTTGGTGCAATGTTATTCTTAATTTGAATTTGAATCGCAGTGAACAAACCGTTTTTGGAGTTGAGAAGTGAAGTTTCCTAAAATTTAATGTATAAATACGAACCAATGAATCAATCAATCAACCCGTACAGAACAGCCTTCAGTCTCAGCTACAACTGATCTATGACACAGTTTTAATACTCTCCCCCACACAGTATTAATAGTGACATTTTGCCCTGGGCTTGCGCTCTGCTCCCTGAGAATGAGGGCTTTAGCTGAGTTGTTACCAGATTCGTATCAAAGCTGTCAACCAATCAATGAATCAATCAATCACCATGTACATGTAGAAGCAAACCATCCGCTTGGTTCCTTGACTGATTTCAACTGCATCCGGTTATCCAGCCATTCCAACTGCGCAGTTGACTTTGGGTAGCCAGTCACGTCAAAATAATTGAAACAGATCATACTGTACTGAGTGTAACTCATCGTGTTGTGTAGGACATGATGACAAGAAAAACTGTCTTTGAAACTCTTTCAAGAGAGTAGTTATTTAGTTACGTCGCGTCGACGTCATCGATGCGGTATGACGTAACTGAGCTCCTCAACTAAAAAAATCGTTTCAAAAACATTTGCAAGAAAGTGAAAAACGAAATCGTTCATTTTCATCCGAGCTGATGTGAAGTGAAAGAGATGGATGTGGCATGAATGAAACTCGTAGACCCTTTTGTTTATTATTTTAGTCAATGCACAATGAGAACTCTAGTTTGATCGGCTGCTGGATAGAGATGCTCGTGTCGCTGCTGTTTTAGACGATACGGAGTATGGGTAAAGTTCCATTCGAAAGAAAATTAATTTAGTGCTGTTTTTGAACGGAGCAAGACGCCCGAAATGCTTGGCAGGGCGAGCATTACGCTTGTCAGGTCGAGGCTGGTCTCATCGCATTGTGGCGCAGTGTTTACGCTACCACGGCGACGATGGACGGGCCAAGGAATCAGCGAGTCAGCACTGCCACTAGCATATCAGCAACAACAGCAGTTGCAACCGCAGCAGGCTGCTACTGGTTCGGTGATCGACATTCGAGCTGATGAGCAGGACTTGCAGTCCGGCCTAGAGGTGGCGGTGGATGCGGACGCGCCCACACCGCTCAGGGCGGCCGTCAGGGAGCTCATGCTGGATCTGAGAGACCGCACGGTGGAGCAGCGTGTAAACCTCATCGCCGAGATTGCGCACGGCACGCATACACGGTTCGATCGGCGCGTGCTCACAGACGGAGTACTAGCCGTGCTCAGCAAAGAGTTCTCGTTCAAATCGCTGAAGGCGTTCTCGGAGAACAAGATGGCGTTTGACGCGGCGCAGGCCACCAGTCCCGACATGTTCGGCCGGTTCGTCGCCACCGGTCTGCAGCGCATCTCCGAGCTGGGCGTGAGGGACGAGCGCAATCTCGCCGTGGCGCTGCAGATCTACTGCATCGGCGCGCGGCCCTCGAAGCCAGCCACCCGGGTCGTCATGGAGACGATGGCGGAGCGGCTGGCGCACAGTGTGGAGCGTGCGCGTCTGAGCACCGCGCTGGTGCGCACCTGCATGCGCTTTCTGGTGGCGGTGAGCCGCAGCGGCGAGCTGGCCAAGCACCGCGACGACTGGCGGCGCATGGTGACGGCCGTCGTCGACAAGATCGGCGACGGAGTGCCGCTGCTCGCTAGAGACGTCACACCGGCGGCGGTCGAGGCGGACACGGAGTTCGCCGTGGCCCTGACCAATCTGGGCATGCGCATCGAGCTGGTGCTGGAGCAGCTGTTGCGCCACCTGGAGAGCCACGTGTTTGTCGGGCGGCTGACCAGCGTTGCGCAGGTGGCGCGCCTGGTGCACTTTGCCGCCCGGATGGAGCTACCGGCCGATCGCATGATGATGGCGGTGGCTGAAAAGCTGGATAACGGTGCCGCCGCCGCCGACGAATCCGACCAGTGCCAGGCGTGGAACGTGGACGAGGCGTCGCTTCACGACCTCATCACACTCTGCTGGGCGTTCATGGCACGGAGATTCGAGGTGCCGGCGCGCCCGCTGGCGGCGCTGTGCGAGCGCCTGGAGGACGCGGTGCACGCGCAGCCGGCGTCGCTGCCGAGCGACTGCGTGGTGGAGCTCGCCCAGCTCACGCACCGGCTGCCGGAGAAGCCAGCCGCGCTGCCGCACGCCATCATCGTCACCCTGCTGCAGCGCTTCAAGCACGAGCAGCGGCTCGGCTACGAGCTGGGCAAGCGCTACCCGCTGCTGCGGGTTAACGAGGTGGTGGACTCCGGTTTCGTCGTGGCCGCCGCACTCGTCAGCCTGACCACTGGTGAGCTGCTACCGTGGCCGGAGAAGTTCCGCTGCTACATCCTGCGTTCGAATCATTTGAAGCTGTTGCCCGGACGACCGGTGGCGCTGCTCACCATGGCCAGTAACCAGACACTGGTAACCCAGGGTGGCGAGGTGGTGCCGGACGCGCTGCTCAATCGCCAGGCCGACGTGATGCGTCGCTACGGCTGGCTGGTTGCCACGGTGAACATGGTGGAAGTGCAACGTGGCGACGAGGCCTGTCTGAACGCGTGTCGCGAGGCGATGATCGGCGCGGTGCACATGCACCGCAAGGTGCAAACCGCCAGGTACCGCAAGAACGCCGCGTTCAGCCGCCAAAGCAAGGGGGCGTGAGAGTGTGTGCGTGCGCTCTGTGAACATTTGTGGAACATTTCCAGTTTGTCATCAGCCGGTTCTGATGAATCTGAACTTATTATTATAATTGTGCCCCCCCCCCCCCCTCTCTCTTCCTCCAGAAACACACATGTACACGCACGCATGCACGCACCACGCTTGATGTAGGATAGTTGTTGAGTAGCCAGGACTACAACCTCTTGCTTTTTTTGTTGTGCTAAAACACGCAGGCGCTAGGCGGTGGTACTATTCCAGCCCGTGGGGCATGTGCTGTTTGCTCGCTGATGATAATGAAAACGATGAAAAGTCGACGTGGAGACGAAAATCGTATTACAGTGGCCCCCTTTAAAATCCAGCTCCATTTGTGCTACCGGGATTCTGCCGTGTTAGGGAGCACGCTGGGTTAGCAAATGAGCCTTTATCCAAAAAAGGGGGCTTATGTCATTTCTTAGAAGCATTTTCAGTTATCGGTAGATCTACATGTACTGCTGTCATCTACCAGATCACTGTAAAAAACCTAAATCCAACATCTTCATCTATATTGTCACGTTGCGTGGTGATGTCCGCGGCATTCTTACCTTTTATAGCCCTAATATCACAGAGTTATGGGCGTTTGAATAAGTCACAATGAAGTGTATTTGACTCGCTTTATTTGTTTAAATGGAAAACTCATCTTATGCTGTTTTTTTCTTGATACCACCCCAAACCACAGTGTTGTGGCAAGTGAAATCCGACCCCAGCTCAGTGGGCGGTTTCGCAATGTAAACTGATGGCAAGTGAAATCCGACCCCAGCTCGGATCGGTTTTGCAATGTAAACCAGTGGCAACTGAAATCCGACCCCAGCTCGGTGATCGGTTTCACAATGTAAACCAGTGGCAACTAAAATCCGACCCCAGCTCTGTGCCCAGTTTCGCAATGTAAACCAGTGGCAACTGGAATCCGACCCAGCTCGGTGCTCGGTTTCGCAATGTAAACCAGTGGCAACTGAAATCCGACCCCAGCTCGGTGCTCGGTTTCACAATGTAAACCGGTGGCAAGTGAAATCCAACCACCTGAGCGGTGTGCTCACTTTCTGGCGGCCTCTATTTCGTACCAAGAGTCCATAACCCCAAGAGTGTGTGTGTGCAACTCTGTACATGGAGAGCAGCGCGGCAGAATTCCAACATTACGTCAAAAATTAGGTACACGCTCGTTGCTCTTGTGCTACTCCCTGGTTCCAAGCACCGCGGAAGGCGGAGTTTTGTGCCCCAGGGTTTAATATGGACTCTTGTTCGTAGTGTTACAATCCCATGCCGGGTCTGCGGTGTGAGGGCACCGCTCTGGGGGTCGGATTTCAGTTGCCAGCACTGTAGCTTCGGGTGGTACAACGGGTATGGAGCGCTTGGCCAATTGGTGCAAGACACGGCAAGTGCTTGTACTGTAGCGGACATGGAAATCCAGTCGATTGACCGGGGCCGGCGCCCTCAGCGTGTACAGAACGCTGCGTGCATGCAGTGCACATGTACGTTGATCCGATGCAACCAGCTAGCGCGCTGCAGGGCATAAATGCACGTGTGCATCGCTTATCCACAGCTGCATGGCCGGCGCCCTGGTGCCGCTAGACGTGCGACCGGATTTCCACGTCCACGACAGTAGAATCCACACTACGAGTGTAGCGCTACCAAAGAGAGACCGCTAGAATGGGTATTGCACTCGGGCACGAAAACCAGGGAGTCGTAAAATACCGGTATTTTACGACTCCCTGACGAAAACCAGGGGTCGGATTTCAGCTTCCACCAGCTAAAGTACATGAACCCCATTGTCGGATCTGGAAGCTCCAATCTGATTTACAGCTGCAATGTGCATGCCGAGCGTAAACTTATTTGTCGGTGACATAGTGACAAGCCGCAAAGAGACTGTGTTGAGGGACTCTAAAATAATGTAATTGGCTGCGACGGGGGCTGCGGATATTTCGAAAAGTTTATACGAGTACATATGAGATAAGATAAAATAAAATGAGCAGCCACCAGCCCCAGTACTACTGAACACAAGCTGTACTGACGTGCGTGGCAAACTGCTAGAAACCAGCACTAGCAACACATAGGAGGTGAGTAGAATTGAAGATATAATACGTCTCAGAGGACACGGAGGGGGGGGGGGGGGAGCCGGGATGGGATGTATACGGCCGGTGAGAATGTTCTTCGACGGCGACGTGGGAGCCGGCGACGAGAGCAGCAAGATGGAAGCCTGGGTGGAGAAGGGAAAAGAGGGCAAACCGAACACACAGCAGCTTATGTCAACCGTAGGGGAAAGGAGCTGCATCAGAAAGATTGGAGAAGAGTAAACAAAGTGTGGCATGGGAAATACGCCTGGTATGGGAACAAGCCAAGCATGGCAATCACATGGACCGTTTACAACTTGAGCATAAAGAATACCACACACACGCGCACATCATTTTGACGCCCATCGCCAGAGGCGAAGATAGCGATGCCACAGCAGAAGCCATAGCAGCTTATGCTGGGATTGCACCATTCAACAGCTTGCAAGGCTGAAGAATTGACCACCACTATTCAGCCTGGTCTACATCACACAGCTATGAAGTGACTTTTTCTGGTCAGTGAATCCCTACTTTTTGGTCTTTTTCATTTTTTTCCCGCGCACACATCACACCACATACTCCGGCATGCACTGGTTGTTGGCATCCACCCAGGAGAATGAAAGAAAAGTCAGGAGGAGTCTGAGAAAGAGAAGAAAGACGTGTGTGACCATAATCGTCGGGAATCGAACCCGCAACCTCTCGATTGGAAATCGCTGCACATACCACTGCGCCATATGGGACACAACACGGACACACACACACACGCACACACATACGCACCCAACCACTGGAAAGATTATGCATGAAGCAGCGGAGTGATAGCTCTGAACGCAGTGTGAGAGAGAGAGAGAAAGAATGTGTGTGTCTGTGTGTGTGTGTGTCTGTGTGTGTGTGTGTGTGAGAGAGAGAGAGAGAGAGAGAGAGAGAGAGAGAGAGAGAGAGAGAGAGAGAGAGAGAGAGAACGAGAGAGAGAGAGAGAGAGAGAGAGAGAGAGAGAGAGAGAGAGAGAGAGAGAGAGAGAGAGAGAGAGAGAGAGAGAGAGAGAGAGAGAGAGAGAGAGAGAGACAGAGAGACAGAGAGACAGAGAGACAGAGAGAGAGAGAGAGAGAGAGAGAGAGAGAGAGAGAGAGAGAGAGAGAGAGAGAGAGAGAGAGAGAGAGAGAGAGAGAGAGAGAGAGACAGACAGAGAGAGAGAGACAGAGAGAGAGACAGACAGACAGACAGACAGACAGACAGACAGACAGACAGACAGAGAGAGAGAGAGAGAGAGAGAGAGAGAGAGACAGACAGACAGACAGAGAGAGAGAGAGAGAGAGAGAGAGAGAAAGAGAGAGAGAGAGAGAGAGAGAGAGAGAGACGCAAACAGAGACAGACAGGGAGAGAGCAGAGACGGAGAGTCAAACAAGATCGCGGACGACTTACCAGTTACACCGGGCGACTACCTAGTTATCACTGAAGTACAAGTCATCTGAACTGCAGCTGTCGTACAGCGGTTCGGGGGGATCATCTTTGGCCAGGACTTTCACCAAGTCAGCAGCTCGCATAACGTCCTCTGCAGGCTGCATGCACACATCATAATAAAAATTAGTGTGTTACAGTTTCCTTTTTCGGAGTCACTAATTATGATGTAATGCACTAATTATGATGTAATGTACTAATTATGATGTAATGCACTAATTATGATGTAATGTACTAATTATGATGTAGGCCGAGACCAACGCATATGGCCGATTGGTTTGCAGGCCTGCCTGCGAATCATGAGGTCCCGAGTTCGAGACCCGCGCTGGTAGCAGGGAGCGTGTAAAGACTTTTTACGTGAGTAAAGACTTTTTATGCGTGGTGAACTGCGCCGACACCCACGGTCAACTGGGTACTCACAGCTCGGAGTGAGGGTTACAAGGATGCAGTTTACAGGGTTATGGGCCGTTACACGCCCGATTGGTTGAGAGACTCACCTACTCTCCCCTGACTCACTTGTGAGGTCTGCATTCGCCACTACAGTCCATTCATTGGAAACTGGCACCCTAACTTTTTGGTGTCACCCACCCATAGTTGTAGATATCGTGAAAACAACAGTACATCCTGCATTGTGTGACCCGTGCAATTACTCCTTGCCACATTTGAGGCCAGAAAAGTCCAAGAACAGGGAAATAGAAATTCAGCCAGGTTTTACTAAATTAGGACAGGTATGCCATGGCAAAATGTATGGAGAAGCAGATCCAAAACCCAGATTTTTGAGATTTAAAGTGGGTTTTTGATCCTCAATTCGGCCCAAACCCGACTTTCAAAAGCCAGCGGGCCAGTTTCCGATGAATGGACTGTAAGGTGTGCAAGGCATAGGCATAGTGGTGGCCTGCGGAAGCGAAGGCTAGTTTGTGTGTTTCTGAACATTCAAGCGATGCCAACGCGAATCCCGCGAATTATTATTATTATTATTATGATGTAGGCCCGCATTCCCGCCACTACGTGACGCTAAGTCCTCCTGGGGTTTGCCGCTCTCCGGTCCTCTTTCATCCCGTTCTCCCCTCTTTTTTTTGGGGGGGATTCTTTGTACTTCGTCTTTCTTGTTTTTCTTGTTCCTTTGTTTTTTGTAGGACAGATTTTTGGTGTACTGATTTCGGTTGTTGTTGTGTCTGACTCTATTCCCAATATTTAATTCTGTGGTTGGTTTTCCAACTCAAAAAAACAAAACAAAAAAATGATGTAATGCACTAATTATGATGTAATGTACTAATTATGATGTAATGCACTAATTATGATGTAATGTACTAATTATGATGTAATGCACTAATTATGATGTAATGTACTAATTATGATGTAATGTACTAATTATGATGTAATGCACTAATTATGATGTAATGCACTGTATGCGCATGCACACACACATCACCAAAGCATTGATATACCTCCACTGGGCTTCACTCTCGGCAGAACACCTCATTTCAGCACAAATGGATCAGGAACTTCATTCGGATCAGGAACTTCATTCCATTCAAGACAGTTTTGCTGTTGTATGTATAGATGACAGTGATAATGAGATGGATGATAATCAACTCCAAGACAGAGAGGATGCCCAAGTTAAATACGATAATCATAAGATGGGGGATCCCGAAGAACAACTCTCCAAGATTTGGGAACGTGCTAAAAATATTCGATCTTCACTACTTTGGCAAAGATGTCTTCAACAACTCGTCAAGCTTACACGACCTACGTGAAAGAAGCGAGAAGGCATACGAAGAGGTATTGGAAAAGATAGTCAAAGAATTCAAAGTCTTGGATCGGAAGGAGAAGATGTTAGCTACTGCTATCCAAAGATACCAAGGTCTACGGGATGAATGCAATCGAACAACGTTGGACATCCAAACCAATAGCAGCAATCCGGATATACTCCTAAAGCTATCCTCCTTGTTGAAGTCGCGGCAGAAGGAACTACAACGAGTGGAAAAAGAAAGAGATAAGATCGTGGAAAAGAAGAATTCATCAGAAGTGACATGTTTGTGTCATGCTTATATACGCAGACGACATCGACTTCTTGAGTGTATCTCAAGCCTGTCTAAGGGACCTGGAGTGTATCTCAAGCCTGGCTAAGGGACCTGGAGCCTGTTGCCTGACACGCACTGCAACAGTGGAGCCTAGGCATGAGTCCGGACAAAACAGAACGCACGACTCTCATCCGAAGAGAAGATCGCATTGAGGAGGAATGGAGTATGACAAGGAAACTTGGTTCGCTACTGGGGGACTGTGAGGACGTCGCCCGCAGGAAGCAACTGGCAGCAGCAGCATTTGCATCTTTGTGGTCACTCTGGAAGAGAGGATCCATCATCAGCGAGAAGCGGAGAATCAGATTGTACAAGGCACTTGTACTTCCTATTCTCCTGTATAACTCTAGCACTTGGGCACTGACCAAGTCCGTACTGGAGCAGCTGGATGCGTTTCATCGGCGGCAGCTCAAATCACTGATCCAAGTAAAATGGCCGCAGAAAATCTCCAATGTGGCCCTTTACCAGCGCTGCAGCGTAGCGCCTCTGAGCCGTGGTGTGAAGAGGGCGAGGTGGCGTTTGCTGGGCCACATTCTTCGTTTGCCAGATGAGTGTCCAGCAAGAATGGCAATGGAGTACTACTTCAAAGACAAGGATGCCAAGAAATGGAGGGGCCGACCCCGCACCACTATCCAGTTGGTTCTATCAGCCGATCTGAAGATGTCCGGCAATGGTCAACTCGATAACCTGCACGACCTACAGCGCCTGCACCAGATTGCGCAGGACCGCGACAGCTGGAAGGAGTTGTACAGTGCCCTGTAGTGCAAGGCCTATGCGTGCTTCAAGGTGGTTCTGCCCGTAACTACATTATCATACCATCTACAGTCAGAAGATTAACTATTACAGGAACAAACGGAATTATTACATGCACAGCACTGTTCAATGCTATTTCCACGTGCAGGACTATTTAGTCACTGCCTTGCGTGCAGTCTTTACCCTTGTCACACCGTGTTGATCTTTTTGGAAACTATTCTTTATCACGTAGCTCAACATCATCAAACCATTATCCCCTTAGGGGCCGTCCGTAATTATCCATCTTTTTCACGAAGAGAAAAAGTTTCGTTTATGGGTGGGTGGGTTGAGGACAGTTTCGTTTTGAAAATTATTGATAGCTGAAGCATCAATCCATTCTAGTTGTCAAGTCAATATATTTTTCGTTGAAGGGGGTGTGGGTGGGTGGGTGGGGGAGGGTCATAACTAAAACTTTTTCGTTCCGTGAATATTATCGATAATGCCGGATGGCCCCTTACTTTAATCTATCCGGCACGAGCGAACCTGTGGGTGGACCTAATTGGATCCACCGACTTGAACGCGGCAGTGCTTTTAATAATAATGATCCTTTTGTCTCTTTGTGTCTGTGGGTATGTGTGTGCATGTGTGTGCATGTGTGTGTACATGTGTGATATGATCAAGAGTACATAACCCCCCAGAGTGTGCAACGCCGATCCAGCTCTGCATAGGGTCTTGGTCGAGCGGAATCGGATCTTCTGATGTCATGCGTACACTCCACACCAGTGCAAGGCCGGTCTCGAGGCAGGGCACCATTGTTTTTGATCCAAGAGTACCCGCGACTCCCCGGGTTCCCTTCAGATTTGTACGGTATTATGACGCAAAGATCCGATTCTGCTCGACCAAGACCCTATGCAGAGCTGGATCAGGCGTTGCACACTCTGGGGGGTTATGTACTCTTGATATGATGTATATTGGAGGGTAGGGGGTATACAGTAATGCTATCACTGATTGAAAAATTCCTTGTGTAGTGTAAAGATGGATTTTGACCTGAGCAAACTCACTATCACCTATGATGGGAAGAACCTCAAGAATGAGAAACAACTCCGATAGATTCTCCAAAAATTAGGACAAAGACAGAATCGGGAACTTCTCAAGAAACGGATCCGGAAGAATTGGAAGAGGTATCCGATTGTCACACCACCGTTCACAGTCTCAAAGTCAGTACCAAAAGGGATTCTGAAATCGTTCATCTATGAACCGAAAGAGAATCATCCAGATCTGTATATATTCTATGACAGTATCAACATCCCACTGAGAACATTGATACAGAAAGAACTGAAAAATCTCAAAGGCGTGAAAGTCAGTCTGACATTACAAGTAGAAATGGAGAAAGGAGATGACATAACAACCACAGACACACCATACTTCAGGAGTGGACCAATGACAGTCACAACATCTCATGAGATTGATGACGGCATTCGAACGACACACTCACAAATTCATACTTGTAGAAATATCGATAGGTGGACACAGAATGGATCAAACTGGCACATCAATCACATCACCAGATTTTATGTTGATGTAGCAGCATATCAGCCAATGAGAGGTAAATCCTACATTGATTTACCGAGCGAACTCAAGAAAAAGAAGACAATCATCAATGTCAAGAATACGGATGATAAATGCCTGATGTGGGCACTGCTCTCAGCTCTGTATCCAGCAAAGAAAAATGACAACCGGGGGGTAACTCAGTATACAGAATATAGCAACAAACTTGATCTGTTCGGAATCGATTTTCCAACACCACTGAGTCAAATTTCCAAAGTCGAGAAGCAAAACAACCTAGCTATCAATGTCTTTGGGCATGAGCCTATGAGGAAACCGTGATCTATCCACTACTGCTGACAAAGAAAAGAGGTGAGAAAGTGATCAACACCTTTAATACTTTACCAAGAAGGAGAACTGAATCACTACTGTTGGATCAAAGATTTCAGTAGATTGTGCTACGATCAGTCAAAACACAAAGCCAGAAAATTCTTCTGCACAAGATGTCTCCAACCACACAACACAGAGAAATCCCTGAGCAACCATCAGGAGTATTGTGATAATGTCACTGGATTATCAGCACATATGGTACTACCAGGACCGGATGACGATGGAAATCAACCAACACTGAAGTTTATCAATCATCACAAAATGCTACAATGCCCTTATTTCATCTATGCTGACACTGAGGCACTGGTCAAGAAAATTGATGGAGTGAAACGCAAACAAACTACCCAGGATACTACGCAGCATGTTGCTTGTACTTCAAGTAGTTTCGGTTACGTTGTCGTACGTTCTGACGGAGTGATGACAAGTCAGTGTTTCTACCCGGGTGATGATGCTATGGATGTATTCTTTGATAAACTCAAAGATGAGGAGAAGAAAATCCAATCAGCACTCAATAATCCAACACCGGTGGACCTCACTAAAGGATCAAGAAAAATTGTTCAGAGAGACAGAAGACTGCTGGATTTGTAAAAAGAAACTTGGTGTTAATAGAGTCCGTGATCACGACCACATCACTGGCGATTTCCGCGGTGCTGCACACAATGACTGTAACATCAAACTGAGAATTTATCCCTACAAGCAGCACATCCCTGTGGTTTTTCACAACTTGAAAGGATATGACAGTCACCATCTCATCGGAGCAATTGGAAAGACAGATGTTGAGACCGTCACATACACAGATAAGGATGCAGAAGAATAAACCAGGACAGGCAAGCAACCCTGCTACTGAAGTATATTAAGTTTGCCTCTAGCCCCGTCCTATCAAACTAGTCTTCAACCCTGCTACCTCAAACTAAGTGTATTACTTGCCTCTAACCCTGCTCCATGGCATTCTGCCTCTAGCCCTGTCCCACGACTAGGCCTAGCCCAAATTTGCCGGCAATTCTTCCAGCAAAACATCGAAATTTCCCACAAAAAGAAATTGCCAGCAAATTCCGAGCAAAATATCGAAATTTACAGAGGATCCGGGTGTGTTTTGGCAATTTTATTCTAATTTCTTTGGTTTCATTGGGCCAACGTCGTGCTGAAATAGCTCGTGCAGGTTGTCAGGGGTACATAAATTTGAAATCATGCTACAAAATCCGTAATACATGTACTCACACCATCATCAGTTTTGCTTTCCTCATCAGAGTCACCATCCACTTTTACCAAAGTAGACGGTTCATTCGAAGCTATTTTTGCCACAAAGCAGGAGCAAAATGGAGCAAAATATGGAAAGTGCTTGGGCAAAATTTGCCGGCAAAATATCGAAGCGCCCCGAGCAAATTTGGGCTAGGCCTACCCATGACTCCCCGTCCCATGACTCCCTGTCACATGACTCCCTGTCACATGACACTTTGCCTCCAACCCTGTCACATCACACAGGATACAACAGAACGGCAGCAGCTAACCTTTTTAGCTTCTTCTTTCTTTACAAAATTCACATTCTTCGTCAGCCGCCTTCCCGAGGTACCGGACTGCACTTTGCGAATGTAGCGATCCGTCACAACACTAGAGGCAACAAATCACACATAGTGATGCGTGTACACACACACACACACCCATACGCATGCACACGCACGCACGCACGCACACACACACACACACACACACACACACACACACACACACACACATGTACGCACACACATACGCACACACACACACACACACACACACACACACACACACACACACACACACACACGCATGCACCCACACATGCGCGCGCGTGCACACACACACACACACACACACACACATTAGAACATCTTGAACATGGTCACCCCAGGGGGAGACAAGACATACATATCTTACACACCGGTGTCTTCTAATGCATAAACAGTACTGAATAAGTACAAAGTTTCGTTTGGAATTAACTTTCGCTATATTCGTTAGGGGGCACGAAATAACTAACGTTTATACCAAAACTAAAGTGAGCCCCCTTCTGAACGTTCGGGGTGACAGACCTCGACCGAAAACGAAATTTAGTACGTATAAACGAACCTGCTGGTGGAATGATCTAACGAAAGATTTCGTGAACGAAAATTTTTCTTATACAGTACATGAATTACCATTAAATTTTACAATCAAACCCCGTCACATACCACTGCAACTAGTTACTTACGCCTGTGTGGGGCGCGTCAGGAAGTGTGAGGTTGTGTACTTGTCCGCATCAATAGCATCATCGTCATCCTCACTGTTGTTGCTTCGTTCTTCACCAGAATCGGGGATAGCATGCAGGTCGTCGTTGTTGCTGTCGGAATCCGCCAGTGACAGCCTGCGATTGACCTGGACACACACGCACACACATGCACACACAGACACACACACACACATACACACACACACACATACATGCATGCAAGGGCACACACACACACACCAACACAGACGCACACACCAACACAGACGCACACACCAACACAGGCGTACACACTCACACTCATACTCACGCCCATCGCTGAAGCGATGATAGCGAACAAACTATGTTAGACATAGCAACTTGTGCTGGGATTACACTATTCGAACAGCTTGCAAGGCTGATGAATTGACCGCCACTAAATTTAGCGTGGTCTACACCACACAGCTTGTTGAAATGGCTTTTCTGGACAGTGAATGATGCAGAATCCTTATTCTCATTTTTCATTTCTTACACACACATCACACCACATACTCCGGCATGCACTGGCTGTTGGTAACCGCCCAGGAGAATGAAAGAAGAGCTAGGAGAATGAGAAAGAGAAGAAAGACGTGTGCAATCATAATCGTCGGGAATCTAACCCGCAACCTCTCGATTGGAAATCGCCTGCACATACCACTGAACCATATGGGACACACACACGCACACACACGCACACACACGCACGCACACACACACGCACACACACACACGCATGTGCATGCGGTGCTTACCTTGACCTTCTTGGGTTTTCGTGCATCGAAATAGTCATCCTTGTAGTTTTCACTCTCCTGCTGCAGGATTTGACGTAATTGTTCTTTTCTTTTCAGGGTCCCGGGAGCTGCAGTGAGGACTGGACCTGAGGGAGAGGACAGGAACAGGGAGAGAGTGAAAGGGGAGAGAGAGAGAGAGAGAGAGAGAGAGAGAGGCATTGAGAAATGAGTGAGAATCGTTACCCTTGGCACATGTGAACCGGTCAATTTTAGGAAATCGTTATATTTGCGGCATGTTAGAATATTGGCTTTTACAATATACACGAGCTTTGTGCAAGAGAAGACAGTATGTGCTATCTCTCAATCCGTGTGCATACCTGTGTGTGTGTGTATGTGTGTGTGTGTGTGTGTGTGTGTGTGTGTGTGTGTGTGTGTGTGTGTGTGTGTGTGTGTGTGTGTGTGTGTGTGTGTGTGTTCATAGCTGTGTGGTGTAGACCAGGCTGAATAGTGGCGGTCAATTCTTCAGCCTTGCAAGCTGTTGAATGGTGCAATCCCAGCAGAAGTTGCTATATCTTCTGCTGTAGCATCGCTATCGGGCGTCAAATGGTCAAATGGTGTGCGTGTGAGTGTGTGTGTGTGTGTGTGTGCGCGGGTGCGTGTGTGCTATCTCTCAATCAACCTCACCAAGGGGCTTTTGCTCTTTGCTCGTCGTTGTCGTCGCCGCCACTGTTGCTTTCGTCTTCTTCGCCTTTGGGGCTCTGATTCGGTAGCGAGACGTATCCTGGTGGTGAAGTTGGCAGGCGGTTGGAGAACGGCTGCGCACACACTTGGCAACTCGGCGCCAATAGTGTGATTTATGTGGCGGAATTTCCGACATGGCCCTGTTCCATGGAGAAACATCAGCATCAGCAGCAGCATCAGCACATGTGTGAGATCTTTGAAGTCAGATTCACACCCACACATGCTACCCCCCCCCTTCCCACCCTCAAACACACGCACACCACCTGAATTCTTCTATCGCTAAAAATCAATTCATTATTCTCAACCTTCACTGAAGAGAGACCTACCCGAAGAGACCTATAGTGGTCGAAATAGCGCTGTACGGAGGAAAAACTATTAGTCAGTGTCTCCAACTTGGAGTCATGTTGAGAGAGAGAGAGAGAGAGAGAGAGAGAGAGAGAGAGAGAGAGAGAGAGAGAGAGAGAGAGAGAGAGAGAGAGAGAGAGAGAGAGAGAGAGGGAGAGAGAGAGGGAGAGAGAGAGAGAGAGAGAGAGAGAGAGAGAGAGAGAGAGAGGGAGAGAGAGAGAGAGAGAGAGAGAGAGAGAGAGAGAGGGAGAGAGAGAGAGAGAGAGAGAGAGAGAGAGAGAGAGGGAGAGAGAGAGAGAGAGAGAGAGAGCGTGTTTGGTGGAGGTGCAATTACTTTATTGTTAAAAATCAATGGTCGCTAAACCGTGGAAAACATCAAATTGCTAAAATATAGCTGGCCAAGGTTTAGCGGTTTACAGTGTAGCTACCTGTCAATCCGCTCGTCCTCCGACACTGTCCAGGCGCCGCCATCCTCGTCCGCGGCGGCCACGGCGTCAGAGTCCTCGGAAGACAGGACACGTGCACGCTTCTTCACTGGATGCGAGGGCGGCAAGAGATGGGCTTGCGAGAAGACGTGTGTGGGCTTAGGCGGTGGTGGCGGCGAGACATGAGTTTGGAACACGGACGTGGCGGACTTCGACGGTGACGAGAGATGGGTACGCGAGAAGACGGAGGTGGGTTTTAGCGGCGAGACGATTCGCTGCTGCGGGTTGTGCGTGGCCTTGCGTGATCGCTGTAGCACGGGAGAGGAGAAGGAACGTCTGGAGTGAGGCGGTGGTGACGATACTGATGTTGATTCTGTGCTCCCTCTCGTCCTCGTTCCACCATCGGAGCTTCTTCAATACCATATCATAGCAAAAATAAAAATAAAGATAGAAAAGGCACACACGTGCACACACGTACACACACACACACACACATGCATGCACACGCACACACGCGCACACACACACACGTGCGCACACATACACAAACACACAAACACACACACGGTGAAGAATAATGTCAGTGCTACAAGAAAGAACCCAATTTACACTTAAGTCAAGAGGAAAAAACTCCACGAAAATTCTAGAGATGGTTTAACCATAGCGACCTCGTCACAACACTAGGTGAAGCTCTTGATAACTCTAATTTCAGAAATTTTCGGTGCGAAGGCAAAAGGCCAGGTTTAATAGGTGAACAGAAATTTTCGGTACATAGAAGCAGTTCCCTATTGGATTATGTGCGTGTTAGTGTTTATTCGGTGTATTGAAATTTTAGGTATGAAACAGACGCACCGAAAGTACCGAAAATAAAAGTACACCGAAAATTTGTGAAACTACAGTATTTCAATCGTACGTGTACTGTTGCATGAAGTTCTGTGTGGCAGCTACAGGTCTACCCTCGGTAGTACGACATCGGTTGCAACTTACAAGAAAAACCTCATTATTAAAGTAGGCAATGATCATGGATTGATCCCCTGGTGCACGAAACGCGTACATTCGCGTCCGGACAGTAGATAATACTGGTTATAAGACACACAATTTGAACCCCCCCCCCCCCCCCCCGGGTTTATCTACTAACCAGGGTAGACCTGTACCTGTACTGAGGAAGCAACAGAACTGACTGTATCACTATGGGCCTCACCTGGAACGTGACGAGCTTTTCCTTGCGCTGAGAAGGTGCTCCGACACGGTGTTGAGCAAATGTTTCCAAGTCCGCGGGAACTTGTGCAAGAAAAGCTTTGCAATTCTCTTCGGCCAGCCTACAGCACAAACACAAACACAAACACAAACAGACAGACATACACACACACACACACACACACACACACACACACACACACACACACACACACACACACACAAACACACACAGACACGCAGCTTTTTAGGTGATGATAGTGATGCAGCAGCCATAGCAACTTGTGCTGGGATTGCACCATTCAACAGCCTGCAGGGCTGAATAATTGGCTGCCGCTTTTCAGCCTGGTCTACACCGCACAGCAATTTGTGGTTTTCACACGCACACACACACACACACACACACACACACACGCATACACACACACACACACACAAACACACAAGCACGCACACACACACAAAGACACACACACACACACACAAAGACACACACACACACACACACACACAAAGACACACGCGCGCACACACACACACACACAAAGACACGCACACACAGGCGTGCATACCTTCGGCCATGACAGCCTTTTGGTTAGCCGAGCCTTCCAACACAACATAGCGTCCAGAGGTGGTACACAGGGTGTTGCCATCCACACGATCTGCGATGAACTTTGTTGTAACCGAGTTGCCAGAGTTCCTGAAAGAAGCAATCACACATGTCCCCCACACATCGTTAAACACGCACTCCTACCTTCCTTCACGGGTACCGCTTTGCTTGACATTCATCCCTCATCTTTAGACTTTTTAAAGCAGTGTGCATGCAATAACCCCCTCTCCCCCCCCCCCCCCCCCTTCCCCATTCATCATACACATTACACATTACACATCACTGCTAGGGTTTATCGGGTGTTAGCGGCCGTCGTGAGTTCCCTTCGGGAACGGATACGATAATTTACTTTTTTTACTTTACTGCATGTTATCCCTATGTGTTCTGCAATGCTTACATGTACACACACCCATTGAATTCTATACTTTGGAATTCTCATTTTCAGATGGAGAGCCAAGGTTTAATTTATATAAAGAGAAAGACCAGGGAACTACAAGTTACGCTATACTGTCCACTAACACCACCAGTTACTAAACAATCAGCTCATGCGATAACATTGCACGACACTGACCGACGGTACTGACGTTCTACAACTAACTGGCTAACAGCTCTAGCACATCTTGGATGCGCACTCCAACAGCCTTCCAACTTGGGAGGTTCTAAGTTATAGAAATAACATAAGGAGGGGAAGGTGAGCGAAAACCAAGAAAAGCACGAGCTGGGAATGTGGCTTTGCGTTCCTGAATCGTGGTTTGACCGTATTGTCCAATGGTCTTGCCAGTATCGTCATCGACATGCATGAACATCCGCCAACGTCCTTCACAGCTGAGACTTTCAGCTCGTGCTTATCTTGGTTGCGCTCACCTTCCCCTCCTTATGTTATTTCTATAACTTAGAACCTTCCAAGTTGGAAGGCTGTTGGAGTGCGCATCCAAGATGTGCTAGAGCTGTTAGCCAGTTAGTTGTAGAACGTCAGTACCGTCGGTCAGTGTCGTGCAATGTTATCGCATGAGCTGATTGTTTAGTAACTGGTGGTGTTAGTGGACAGTATAGCGTAACTTGTAGTTCCTTGGTCTTTCTCTTTGTATAAATTCTCATTACTTTTTATGATTCTTTTTAATATTTCCTTCTCTCATAATAATGTTATTCGTTCTTAGTAGGAACCGGAGGTTTTTTCCTCTGGTGAGAAGGCAGAATTGCCTGTGCTTTAAACAAATTCAAATAAAAGAAACAAACAAAACCTCGTCTATCCGGGCAGCAGTTCGGGACCGGGCAGTTTTGACTGTACATCCACTCACACACACACACTCGCTCACTCATGCACGCATGATCCTGGCGGCGACTGTCAATTTTTTCTTCAGACTTTTCCCGTTGGCGTCTTTCCCTCGAACCAGTGAATAAATATACGCCGGATATTTGTTGACTTTCAGTAAGGCAATCACTTACAGGTCTACTCCCTTGATGAGAGGATGAAGCTTGCCCTTGTACAACCTCATATGGCAGTACCAATCTGAGACCACTGTTATCTTGCTCTGAACACACACATACACACACGTACACACACACAAAGAAAAAAAACACAAAAAGTGGCAATGCTGCAGAGATTCGCCCTCATATCGTCAAAACTCACCTTGCGAGATTGGGCCCAGGCCAGACTAGAATGTACAGAGAGAACAGGAATCTGACGTGAGCAGCTATCTGTCAAGCTTGAGGTAATCACTGATCAATATTGCCTGCACGTGCACACTGTAACAGTCAATTGGGAGGTATTCTAGATATTATTTGAGCTCAATACACCACACCACCACATTGAGCTGATGAGCTCAGGAGGAGCGAAACAGCTGTCTGGAGGGTCATTGTCAATATCAATCTATATACCGGAATTGTCCTCGCTGTGGTGATGGTGATGTGAGTGCAGAGTTTGGATCGGCCAAGAGCGCAATGTGGTGGTGTGGTGTATTGGATTCCATAATGGCCGGGTTGTCGTTACTTCTTCTCAATTATTTGAGCTGCCACATGTATCCTATTCTTTTTTGGAGAAGAGAGAAAAGCCTCTCGGACGGGCAAAACTCAGAAAACAATGTTGCACAATCATGTACAGTCTGTATCGGCTATAGCGTACCCTTTTGATTTCCGTGATTTTATCACTATAACCGATGCATCACTATATGCGATACGATCGATTTTTTCTTCTTTTTTCGATCGACACATGAAAGGCAAGGACATACTTCCAGCATGGCGTTTTGACAAATGAGCATGCTGCATAGTTGACAGTGCCCGCATTTCCATAAAAAAATTCTGTTATGTACATGGACATGTATCACTATAAAAATAAGCAACGTGAAGAAAGTAAAAAAATAGGGCCTTTGATATTGTTGCTACAGTCATGTATTTTAAAGTTATCACTATAGCCGATAATAATATAGTGTGTTACGCATGTTTTGATTCTTTGTTGCCATCATAATATTCGATATAATATATCGGCTACAGTGATATTGGTACGAAATATCAAAAGCAAAACGTATTTTGTCCAGTACAAATATCACTATAACCAATATTATCGGATGTAATGATTATGATATTATCATAATCATTACATCCGATAATATTGGTTATAGTGATATTTTTACTGGATAAAATACGTTTTGCTTTTGATATTTCGTACCAATATCACTGTAGCCGATATATTCTTATATCCGGTCACTCTATAGCCGATACAGACTGTACACATGGATGTCAAAACTATGTCAAAACTAAAAATATGTTTTTTTTAGAGCGAACAGCGACGGATGTACTGTAAAGAAAAATCTATCCTACTGTACGTGAGTACTTCCTCCGCGTCATTAAAATTGTCGCTTCGCACATCGCAATGTTTGTGACTTGGCTCGTCTTAGTCAGACTGTCGGAATCGCTGTTTTCTGTGTTCGAACATTGGTGCGACCCTTTCTGCGCAATGCCTACTTGTTACTGAAGCCGTGGTGGTTTCGGACCTTGTCGGAGCTCTCTTCCGCACCAAGCAAATTCATCGCGCTCCGCACTATTCCGCCCCAGAGCGCATATCGCTTTTCTGGAGTTCGTGCTGTCCCACATCACTCCTTGGGCGTTTATCAAGACTGAAAGCTCCGGTATAAGAATCCTGGTATCTCTCCTGAATATGAAATGCTGAAGTTGACGATGGCAAGTAGAAAGTGTTCTCAAATTCCTAAAATGCGCTACTTGTGGCGCATGTTGCTGCGAAGGTAGCAGGTCTGAAAACACCAACAAAATCAGCGAAGCGCTTGCCAAGGAAAGAAGGTGCGGAACTGCTTACCCTATCCCGCTGGGAGGTCGTTACAGTGTACTTGAAAAATGCTAGCTTGCCTTCATCGCCAGCCACCTGGAGGCATGGATCATTTGAAAACGAAGTTTCTTGACCTGAATTTGAACGCGCGTCTTATTCAGCATATTGAGTGCTGAAGGGTCTGCCTCAAACTCTGATGAGTATGTCGATCTTAGCTGCAAGTGAAGCGAAGCGGGAGGTCACAAACTAAAGCTTGGTCCGTCGACAATGCTCTGCCTCAATTTCTAGCTGATTTCTTTGCCCTTCAAGTGGAAAAAATAAATTCGAAGAATCGCTCTGGGAAGCGACAATTTTAATGACGCGGAGGAAGTACTACATCTGCTATAACAGCATAACTTACCTCTGCCTTGTCCCGGTCTCCACTCGTAGCTGAGACACTGGAGGTATTTTCTTCTGATGTACTGGAGGGCGCAAAGTTCCGCTGTGTACAAACACAAACGCGCGCGCGCGCGCACACACACACACACACACACACACACACACACACACACACACACACACACACATCCATACACATACAAACATGTACGCACATGCACAAAACTAAGGGGTCAAACTGGAGCTTTCCAGCTTTCGGAATCCAGTACGGAATGCCTTTTCTGATACCAGCACACACACACATACATGTTGTGACGGGACTGGACTTAGAGGTCGTTTTTCCCATTTCCTTTGGCTTTCGAATGTCGCTGTGTCATAATTTTAATCTCTTTCTGCATGCTCTGTATTATGATCCTCAAATGGATTGGACTCAGGTGGAGAGCCAAGGATTAATTTATAGAAGAACAAATTGTTTCGTAGCTGGTGGTGTTAGTGGACACTATAGTGTAACTTGTAGTTCCTTGGTCCTTTTTGTTCTTCTCAAATGGATAAACGTTTCCATTGCCGAAGCGGAAGCTATTTCCCAAGACAGGGAAGCTTGGCTCGGCATTGTGAATCAATGTACTAACTTATCATGCTAAAAAAATATCTGCGCTTACTTGAATATCCTTTTGGTAAATAACATTCTGTACTTAATATTATATTCCTCATGCCTAGGCTCACGGTGGAATTGAGGTAGTTTTTCCCTGCAATAACAGAATGAAGAAGGTGTGTATGTCATGTGTTTCTCGTTTTTTCTAACTCTTTTGCCGACAGATGCGTTAGCCCCATGGGTGATCTCACCCATGGGGTACATGCGAGCTGTTATTATTATTATTCCCGTAGCTATGCAGAAGACGTTACTTCAGTAACGTCTGGCGCTAGCCAGGGTCCACACAGCTTTAATTTGGTGTTTGTTTGTGTGTTTGTTTGTTTGTGTCACGCCTGGCGCTATCCGTATCTGACGGCAAAAAAGCATAGGATGTTATAAATTTTTCAATTCTCCTTTTTTTCAGGCATATCCTGGGATTCGAACCCGCACTATCGCCCTACATGCATTCCCCCATACACTTCGCATTCATACCCATTCTTCCAAGTTGCTTCACGTTATTATCTTGCGTTTGAAAGCCCTATTTGAATATTGCGGGCAGCTGTATGTGGCCAGCTGTGTTTGATGGTACGGTACGGGACGGGAGACGGCGTCGTATTACCCTCGATCGTACCTGTCCCGTACCTATCCCCTACCGTACCGTGCCATCAAAGACGGCTGGCCATAATGCATATTCAAATAGGGCTTTCAAATGCAAGATCACAATGTGAAACAACTTGGAAGAATTAGTATGTATGCGAACTTTGATTGCGAAGTGTATCGGGGGATGCATGCAGGGCGCGCGATAGTGCGGGTTTGAATCCCAGGTTATGTCTTAAAAAAAAAGAATTTTTTAAAGAATTTATAACATCCCTATGCTTTTTTTTGTCTAGGTAATCAAGGCAAAAAGCATAGCGTAGGGCCCTGAGCTTCCAAGCTCTCTCGTTATTATTAAATGGATTAGTCATGTATCACGAACAGCTAGCCTGTGGCTATGTACTGTAAAACGACAAACTTTCGCGGCGGCTAAATTTAGCGTTTTGGCAAACTGGACCAGTTAGCGGCGATTAATTTTAGCGATTTTTACCTTCCACCGAAAATCAAAGCAGTACAACACTAAAATCTACGCAACAGCAAGCTGGCCAAACGCTCCAAGAAGTTCAACAACACTCTTCACAACACTGAGACATTCTCCAGTCGATCATTTTATTCTCTTCTGGTTCAAGTCGCCGTACTCCAACGTCAACTAATGTTTCAACGGTTACTTGCAAGACTGGTGTTGGTACGTAACCCGTCGTTGCAACAGCCGCGCGATTTGGTTGGACAAAGCCGGCCGTGCAAGCATAGATCAGCGCTGTGAATGTATAGTCAGTGCAGTGAGTGATGCATGCGCATGTACTGTACAGATCTGTGGCGCAAAACGATCGATCATCGACGCATCGCATAGTACGTAATAGTACAACATTTCATATTCGCGAGTCAAACTTTCGCGATTCGACCCTGCTCGCGAAAGTCGCGAAAGTTAATCGCTCGCGAAAGTTAATCGCTCGCGAAAGTTTGTCGTTTTACAGTACTCTACAATCTAAACTCGGATACTGAGCCAGTAATAAAATGTAAAAAAGAGAAGAAACACTTTCTGACCGTTTATCATCTTGTTGCAGTCGTGGATAGTTGCTGCATAACTCGTTCTCATGTGTTTTTTTCTCTTTTTTACTCTACAATCTATTCACCTTTAGGAACACACCTCATTTGATTGCTAACTCCACATCCTTAATCTAACTCTAGCTCATACACCATACTCCGAATACAGCAGGGAGTCGAATGTGACTCCCTCCATTGCAGCAGTATTGCGGAAAATAAGAAGCTGGCCAACGACGAGGGTTCCCCTCAGATCTTGGTTAGTCCAGAAAGAAGGCGTTTGATTTGCAATGTCGAGTGAGTTAGAATTCTACCTGTTACACATGTACAGGTTTTGCTTAGGTTCTAGCTAGGTTTCGGTTAGGTTTTGCACTTTTCAGACAGGTTTCTCACCAATCACAGCACAGAGATCTGTTGTGGTCAAACCCATTTCACGCAGCGCAGGAATTGTTCGCTGGGACTGGGGTGAGAATTGTTACGGATGGTTGCATTTATCTTGGTGGCGCCCTTGGGTCTGAGAGATTCCTGCACACATTTGTATCGGGTAAGGTTGATAAGTGGGTTCGCCAAGTCGAGCACCTTTCCGAACTCGCCACTACTCAGCCACATGCTGCATACACTGTGCTTGTGCGCAGCATTATTTCGCGCTGGCGTTATTGCCTTCGGGCCGTAAATTGCTCTCCCGACCTATTTACTAGATTGGATGATGCAATTAATAATTCCCTGCTGCTTCTCCCAACACGCAATCATACGGTGTTGGAGAGGATGCAGGTGAGGAGGATGGTGATGATTGGCCGCCGCCACGACCTCCTGTGACAGCGCCATCTCACGGAGCTCGCAGCCTCATCAGCAATGCAGTCACGGAGTGTCGCAGGCGCCTGCAGAATACCCGCAAGAACAGAGTTCGTCAAGAACAACAGGCTCTCAACAACATCAAGGACAGTTTGTGTGAAAGCCAACGGTTTCTGGTAAACATTTGCAGTGGTGCCAGCAAAGGAGTCTCATCCTGGCTCACGTCATCGCCAGGAGTTGCCAATGGTATGGTATTGAATCGCTCGGATTTCAGAGACGCTATCGCCATTCGTTACGGCTTGCAGCTGGATGGCCTATCCCCAAATTGTGTGTGCGGCAAGGCAATGACAGTGGACCATGCGATGACCTGCCCTTGCGGAGGGTATCCATCCGCCAGACACAATGAGGTCCGGGATCTCCTAGCAGATGTAATGCGTGGAGTTGTTCAAGACGTGGAGGTCGAGCCGAAGCTCCTCAGGAGGAGCAGCTCCAGGGGGTGACGGCGAATCGCTCCGTTGAGGCTCGTGTTGATATACGGGCTCGTGGTTTTTGGACGCGGCAGCAGGAGGCCTTCTTCGATATCCGGGTGACGCACCCTAGGGCCAGCCTGCTGTCGTGTTCCAAAGTCACGAGTCAATTGGAGCGTAACGAAGGAGAGAAGAGGCGGCAGTATGGCGAGAGGATCAATACAGTTGATAGAGGGAGTTTCACTCCACTGGTGTTCGCGACAAATGGCATGGCTGGGAAGGAATGCACCATATTTTTGAAATATCTGGTTAGCCTGATTCTCGAGAAGAATATCGATCTATCGTACTCTGTTGTGATGAGTCATTTGCGCTGCCGCTTATCGTTTTGTCTCCTTCGTTGGTGTATCACTTGTTTGCGTGGCTGCAGAGCATCCTATCGTACTAAGCGCTCTGCAAATTTTGTTCATGAATGTCGTGTACTGTCGCGTGTTTAAATGTCTTGCTCCGTTTGCAAAAGATCTCCAGTTATGTTTTTTTTAGTTTTAGTTTTTTTAGTTTTGTTTTGTTTTTCTATTACGAATGCCCTCTTCAGTGTAATCCCTGTTTCGTGCCTTGGAGTTACAATTGTGTTCTTTTCTTGTTTTCTCGCTACAGTGTAGCTTCTCTGATTATTGATTTTGAATTGCCTTCATCATTGTTTTGCTTTGAATCTCTTTTTCGTTTTTGTTCCTTTTCCATATTTATAACTTCGGGTTTTTCAAATAAAGATTTTGAGTAGTAGTAGTAGTAGTAGTAGTAGTAGTAGTAGTAGTAGTAGTAGTAGTAGTAGTAGTAGTAGTAGTAGTAGTAGTAGTAGTAGTAGTGTGTGTGTATGTGTGTGTGTGTGTGTGTGTGTGTGTGTGTGTGTGTGTGTGTGTGTGTGTGTGTGTGTGTGTGTGTGTGTGTGTGTGTGTGTGTGTTAGTATGTGCAAGTGTGATGAAGGCGTAGATTTTCTTTTCACAGCTACATGTATCTCTTCATTGCCTAAAACACAACGTAGTCGCGGAGAAACCGTTACCTTGGCAGCAGCCGTGACAGGGGGAGGGCGATGGGAGATGCGTTCCGATGACCTTGCTGATTGCATTGAGACATGGTTCCGATGAGGATGCTGCTCCACAAAGTTGTCGGACTCATCTTCACTAGCTGTATGTAAAGTGGCACTGCTCCGTTGTTGCCGGTTGGACTGCTTAGCTGGTGAGGAGACTCGTACTGTAGAGCTGTTAACATCACTACTGCGTGAAGAAGTAGCATGGGTCTGGGAGAGAGAGAGAGAGAGAGAGAGAGAGAGAGAGAGAGAGAGAGTGAGAGAGAGTGAGTGAGAGAGAGTGAGTGAGAGAGAGTGAGTGAGTGAGTGAGAGAGAGAGAGAGAGAGAGAGAGAGAGAGAGAGAGAGAGAGAGAGAGAGAGAGAGAGAGAGATTTACTTTGCACTCATTGTAGGCCTCGACCAAATATGCTAAAAAAAGAGCATATTATGCTCGTCGCAGATCAGGGAAAACGTCCATAATATGCCAAAGGCTTAGCAAGATATGCAAAAAGAGATGCCAAAATATGCTCGACATAAGCAGAAAGTGTAGATCATTTCAGTGAAATTACAACCTTGGAAATTTTTTCTTTTCTGGTTGGCGATCGCGAGGCGCGGGTGTTCCAGTTCTCGTACACCTTGAAACATCGTACAGCTATGCATATGCTTGACCCTTGCCTACTATAGTACATGTCAGTGCCATTCCAAATTCATCCATAAAAGGCATTTCTGAACGCATTTCGTCCATAATATGAATGTTTTGTCCTCATTTTCTTCAGACATTTTGAATTATATGCTGGCTTCATTCCAATACTCCCTTCATCTCACAAAATATGCGGAAATATGCGCAAGCATTTTTGGTCGAGGCCTAACTCATTGTGCTTTTAAATATCTTCGTTTTCATTAGACACCCTTAGCAAAACACGATAATGTTGTAACGGTATTATCGTAACGGGGAAAATACCGAGATTTGGGTTCGACCTTTCGCAAGATGCACACTAAGTTTAGTACGCTGTTGCCACGAGAATAGCTTCTGTTTCGTGTGGTACAACCATTTATGTCACCATATACGCTACAGTCAACTTCACTTATAAGGCGAGACCAAAAAAAAATAGAGATTCCCGGGCCCTCCCGCACCAAAATCGAGCCGAAGGCAATTTTTTTTAACAGTTCGTATTATGTACAGTACTGATCGTGCGAGTAGATCTGTGACATGGTGTCACACAAACCTGGGCTTGTACGACTCCCTGGTGTACGACTCAGGGCTGTCGTTGGCCGAAATACAAAAGAAATTGTACGGGTACCGGTAAACCATGTACCTGTCGTCTGTAAAAAAATAAAAAATACCGGAAAATACCGGAAAAAAAGAGTTCAGCATGCCATGCATACACACATAGGAAACAAATTAAAAATTAAAATTCGCCCGCCCGCACCAATTTCAGATGGGTCCTGCCCGGGAATCTCCATTTTATTTTGGTCTCGCCTAACGACACTCGGCGGGGCATCAGAAAAGTGTCCTTATTCGCGAAGTGCCGTTATACCCGAAGTCTCATTATATGTGTCACAGTTGGATGGGACTTTGCTCTGGGCAAGGAAATTCTGTCGTTATTCTCGAATTGTTGTTAGATCCGCAGTCGTTATTAGCGAAGTTGACTGTATACAAGGTGAAATGGGTACGCACTATGCAATATTTGGCCAAAAAAGTAATGCTTCTCACAACGATAAATCAGCCCCCATAATGTTTTTACACTGCAGCTTCAATGCTATTATATTGGGTGATCAAGGTACGAGTACCGTAAAAAAAGCGTTACCGCTGTTTGCTAAGGGTGGCTAATGTCCACCATAAACGGATGCAAATCTAGCTGAGTAACATCACGATAAAAAGTCCCGGAATTCAGCCATTCGTGATGATGATGATGATGTGTAAGTGCAAGTGTGATGAAGGCGTAGATTTTCTTTTCACAGCTATATGTATCTCTTCATTGACTATACCACAATGCGGTGGTCATAGAGTTATTGTTACCTTGGCAGGGGTAGCGGCAGGGGGAGAGCGATGGGAGATGCGGTCCGATGACCTTGCTGCCTGCACTGCGGTACAGTTTTGCTGAGGATGGTGCTCCACACTGTCGGACTCATCTTCACTAGCCGTATGTAAAATGGCACGGCCCTGGTGTTGTCGGTTGGAGTGCTTGGCTGGTGAGGAGACTCGTACTGTAGAGCTGTTAACATCACTACTGCGTGAAGAAGTAGCATGGGTCTGGGAGAGTGAGAGAGAGAGAGAGAGAGAGAGAGAGAGAGAGAGAGAGAGAGAGAGAGAGAGAGATCTACTTTGCACTAAACATGCTTTTTAAAATATCTTCTTCTTCAGTGTCCACCATTTACAGATGCAAATCTAACTGAGTAAAATCACAATAAAAAGTCCCGGGATTCAGTCATTCGTGGTGGTGATGTGTAAGGGTAAGTGTGGCGACGGGGTTTAAGGTAGATTTTCAGTGTGGTGACGGGGTTTAAGGTAGATTTTCAGTGTGGCGACGGGGTTTAAG